CTGGCCCAGAGTCTGGGCGCGTGAGGCGGCCCTCCCAGCCTCTCCGTCACGCTCGGTCGCATGGCCCCGCGCCACGCAGGAAGCCCAGGTGGTTACACACTTCACATGTGCAGGCACATCTGCGACCCATCAGGCCCTCCCATGCGGAGGAGGAGTGTTTCCTTCCAGAGCTGCTGAAGCCACGCATGTGCACAGCAAGGCTCCCGCTGCCCCCTCGGACTCTGCCTCACGCCCTATGTCCCCCAGGGCTTGCTCGAGGGCGGGCGACACGACCTTCCGTGCACAACCACCAGAGGCCTGGGGAGAACTACAGCAGGTAGCCACCCAGCACCTGTGCGAGCCCTGAGAGCAGGGTGACCTGGGGCCCCAGCTCCAGATTGAGCACTGGAGAATGGAAGCCGCTTCCTCCACCTGCAGGCTCAGGTCACACAGAGCTCCCAGTGGCCCCTGTTTTCTGGGAACTTGACCAAAGCTATTACATTGAGGGTATGGGGGCCAAGGGCCACGGTCAATGGTCACGTGATGTCAAGCTGTCTGATCCAAGAAAGAAAGAATGTGCATGTACTTGACGCATAATGAAATAATCCATTCATCATGTTCTGATCCTAGATTCACCTGAAATTCCAATCCATTCTGAGATGGCAATAAGTCAATCATATCATCGTCTAAAATCTCCTGGTTCCGGAGTAGCCCAAGACACGTTCTCGCCTCCGCGTGCCTGCGCTGCTGGCTGTGAGCACTCACCTGGTCCTGGGGGTCCATCTTGGTCATCATCCTGTCCTCCAGGAGGTTAAAGGTGAGCACCTGCAGCACGTACAGCTGATGCGCCATTTCGTTGTTGATGGCCCGCTGCGCTCGGATGACGTGCTGGGGAGAGGATTCACAAAGCGAAAAGAAAAGGAAACAGCAGAAGTTAACCCCCATCACTATGCCAAGCAGAAGCTCAGAAGTCTTCGCTTGGAGGCCTGGGGGGTCTAGTTTGGTGGGACTACGCTTCAGAAGAAAGGAGAGGACACAGGTGACCTGGAAGCTCACCTGTACATTCCAGGGCCCAATAAGGTTCCTAGATCTTTAGGCCAGAAACTGGGAAAAGACCTGCTGTGCTGTGTGCAGGGGGAGGAGAGGGGCACGGGACATGCCCTGGCGCCTTGGCCCTCTAACCAAGGCGGGGTGCCTGAGACGAGGGGACCATGCAGAGAGCTGAGGATGCCGCCACAGGGCGTTCCTGCTCGCAGTGGGGGGACAGACGGTGCACATGCGCTGTAAGCGTGTTTGCCAGCGACGCTCCCTACTACTGCCACTGATAGGTGATCCCACTTCTAAAGGGGGGAAAATTTCAGAAGCAACACACAGAAGCAAAGTACCTACCAGACCTGTGGTTAATTCACTGTGAGAGCTATAGGGAGACCCCATTGCCACCCCCGTGCAGTGAGTGAATTCCTGGGCATGGCTTCACTCGCCTGTTAACAACTGAGAGTAAAGGGACACCTCCTCTTAGAAACAGCACCAAAGGGGACACGTATAAAAGGAATGGCATGAGCCTAAATAGGTGGGCCTTTGTCCCCTCTCCCCCGGAGCTGGGTCTGAAATGGGGTTCAGCCCTGGACCCTAACATACATCCTCTCTGGCAGAGACCACAACACTGCCTTAAACAGGACTGGCAAATGTCGGGAGACGACCATTCGCACCAGGTGTTTTGGGGATGCGAGGCCCCACCATGTCTTGCTGTCTGAAAGAGCTTTCTCCAGGTGCCCCAGCCTGGCATGCACTGAACTCCACACCCTGGCCTTGAGTGCCACATCCTAACAGCCCACTAAAGAAGGGGCGGGGGGGATGGAAGGAAGTGACAGACCCAAAATTATGGAGGTTGAGGGGGTGGGAAGCTAGGGAATGGGTGGCAGAGTAGAATAAAATCCCGTATCCTTTAGTCTCCAGAACAGAATGTGAATCCATAGTATAATTCAATATCCAAAGTTTATGGGTGTTGACATTTAAGTCTTTACTCCATTTGGGGTCTATTCTGTATATGGTGTAAGAAGGTGGTCTAATCTTACCACCTTACTAATCTTGAGACAGCATGGATAGACCTGGAGGGTACTGTGCTGAGTGAAATAAATCAGAGAAAGAGAATACCATATGACTTCACTCATAGGTGGAACCCAAAAGACAAAATAAACTAGCAAACAAGATAGAAACAGACTCAGATACAGAGAACAGACTGATGGCTGCCAGTGGGGTTTGGGGGGCTGGATAAAAAGGTAAAGAGAGTAAGAAGTATAAATTGGGGATGTGATGAAGAGCATAGGGAATAGAATCAATAAAACTGTAATAACCAAGCATGGTGCCAGGTGGGGACTGGAAATATTGGGGGATCACTTTGCAACGTATATGATTATCTAACCACTTTGCTGTACACATGAAACCAATACAAACTACTACTGAATGTCAATGATAACTGAAAATAAAAGACAAAGGGTATGGCTGCTAAAGTGTATGGATTCTGTATCTATTTTTGTAGCAACTCCAAAGTGTCTCATGCCAGCTTCTTGCCAGAGAATGCCAACCGTGAGCTTTGGGCCATCACAGCCTCACTGAAGAAATCCCGCCGAGGTAAGCTGACCTTTGAAACATGGGGGCTACCGCCACTCCACCCGCCCCATCCCTGGCACCATAGCGATGTCAACCACAGGCTGGGACCTCCATTCCTCACTTCTAGCCCTGCCTCCCCACCCCCCGCCACCCCCCGAGCAAAATAACCCTCACTGAGCTGTGCCTCAGCACTACAGCTTCCGTGGGTATTGAGAGCCAGTGCGGAAAATCACCGTATTAGGAAACCTCCTGAAATTTCCAACAAGCCGTTCTGGGACTGGAGTCTGCTCTAAAGCCCCACCGACACCCAGATCCGATTCCGGTTCCAGGAGGGAAAGTGTGTCATCCCTCAAGAACGGGTACCTCTGCGGTCCAACGATGAAAATTACACTCATATGTTTCTCTTTATCCTAGACAGCCAGGATGTTTAACATCAAACCCGATGACAAACTGTACTTATTACTATGGGCTTTGGGTTCTAGAATATTTATTTTGTTTGGCCTCATAAGGTTTTTAATTGTTAATGGCCTCACAGTATTGGAATGGGCGGGTGTGGGTGTGTGTGTGGGTGTGGGTGTGCGCGCCTGTGTGTGTGTGGCCGGGCTTACAGAACTCCTCGCGGAAATCACTCACACACACGTCTTTCAGCCTCTAGTTAACAGTCAAATAGCCAATAAGGCCTCAGGAGACCGTGCTGTTTGACTCATTTTCAAACGTTCACAGCCTCCGCGTAAGGCCTCTCTCCCACCGAGGGTTCTGGTCACGCTTGCACTCGGTAGTCTCCATGGACGCCTTTTCTCTCTCTGTAAAGGGGCCCAGGAAATGATGGTGAAATTTCAGGGTCTGATGTGTTTATTTCTAGCTAGCTACCTCATTAGAAACTGTATAAGCTCAAACTCATAAACCTTTTTAAAAAAATGTTTTTATTGATTTCAGAGAGAGAGAGAGAGAAACATCGATGAGAGAGAATCATCGATTGCCTGCCTCCTGCATACCCCACACTGGGGATGGAACCCACAACCTGGGCATATGCCCTGACCAGGAATCAAAATGTGACCTCCTGGTTCATGGGTCAATGCTTAACCACTGAGCCACACCAGCTGGGCTCATAAACCTTTTAAGTCACAGAACCCCCGATTTTCTTACATCTAAGTTGTAGCAAAGCTAACACCATGGTGAGTGTAATAAACCTGCCCCCTGAGAGGCCCTGGCCTTTCCTGCCAGAATGTTCTTTCTCTAAAGCATTTTACTTTCAGTTGTTAACAGGCGAGTGAAGCCATGCCCAGGAATTCACTCACTGCACTGGGGTGGCAATGGGGTCTCCCTATAGCTCTCACAGTGAATTAACCACAGGTCTGGTAGGTACTTTGCTTGTGTGTGTTGCTTCTGGAATTTTCCCCCATTCAGAAGTGGGATCACTGTCAGCGGCAGGAGTAAGAAGCGATGCTGGCAAACACGCTTACAGCGCATGTGCATCATCTGTCCCCCCTGACCCCCCCACCCCCCTGGGAGCAGGAACACCCTGTGGCGGCATCCTCAGCTCTCTGCATGGTCCCCTCGGCTCAGGCACCCCGCCTTGATAAGAGGGCCAAGGCTCCAGGGCATGTCCCGTGCCCCTCTGCTCCCCCTGCACACAGAGACCCCTCCCTCCACCCAGAGGCCATTCCCGTGGGAAGCCTTGTTCCTTCCACTTCCATAAGCTCCTTGCTGCCTGCTTTCTGGTTCCTCCTGTTTCCCCACAGAAGCGAGTCACAGAACGAAGCAGAACTAAGGCCGCAGGAGGAGATACACAATGCACCGGCCCACCTCCCCGACCCCGTGGACGTGGCTCCTGAGACTCACCGTCAGGATGATGGAGCGCAGCTGCTTCTGGGCTAGAATGTTGGCCATCTCCTGCGGACGGAAAGCACCCCATGAGTGCCGAGGTGAGACAGATCCGCTTCCACACGCTCCGAAAGGACTGGCTCGGGAGCCTCCTAACGGGGCGTCAGCAGTATTTCTCAGGGAGAAGGGACTCACGGAGGAGGGGCGTTCAGGTGACTTTTTGAATGTTCTGTTTGGCAAACAAGGCCATGTCCACAGCAAAGGAAGGAACCCTGTGCCTGCAGTCTTTTCTCTTTTTAAGGCACTGCTTCCTCCCAGGAAACGGTGGGTGCTACGTGCACACTGAGCTCTGCGAGGGAGAGCACAGTCCCGGGGGAGAGGCTCGCTGCTCCTGTGACTATAGGTGACTCAGAGGCCTGCACCCTGAGCTTCAACGGTACAGAAGCATCACTTTAAAGATCCACAGCTTACTTCTCCTCTCAACCTGAGCAAAATCCGCATCCCGGCACTCGAAAGGGGTCTGTGCGAGGGAACGAGTGACCGGGTCCCAGCCAAGTCCGACGCCTGGGCACCGCCAGCCCGCGCTCTGCGGGTCGCGCCGGGGGCCCCGGCTGGCACACGGGACTGTGGTGGCTTTGAGATGGAAGGAGTCCCAGATGCCCTTTCTTAAGATTGACACGTGGGCACCCAGGGGAAAGCTAATAGTTGGACACAATCTTGTTGCCAACATTCAAAAACGGAAATACTGCTCACATTCAGGAAGACGCTGGGATGTGGGATTTGGGGGGGATTGCATTGAGTGCTGCTACTCTTGCCGAGTGGAGAAGACCCTCAACCCGGATTCAGAAGCGCAGCCACGGATTCCAGGTGAAAAGAAACTTGCCGAAAGCAGGGAGAAGGCAGGACGTGGGGTGGGGGGCAGGACCGGGGCTCAGGCGGGGTGGGCAGGCTCGAAGGAAAGCTCGGGGCTCGCTTGGTGCCAACGAGGGCGCTGGGGACTTACAGTCAGAGGACAATCAAGGATGTCCACACTGCTGTCCACACCAGCCTGGCAGCGCCAGGGCCACCACGGGAAGGAGAGCAAGCAGGAGAGAGGAGGGCGGAGAGTGAGAGACTGAGAGGGCGCAGCGAGGCTAGTGCCCCGAGGCCCACTGCACGGCGAGAACCACGTGGAAATACTGCAAGGGGCGCCAAAGGGCTGGAGGGCATGAAAGTCGAAATCTAATGCTAAGTCCTCTTCCCGCGTCTTCCAACAGCAAACGAAGTGCACACGCAACTCTAAGCCACGCCCTCACTGTGCACAAGCAGTGCTGGGAGGAGCAACATCCTACACGGAAGACGCATCAGAAACCTTCATGGTTAGTCACTGAGGCTTACAAACCTGACAGTGAGAAAAGTGAAATTAAAAAAATACAACTCTTGACCCTGAGGCTAGTAGCATGCTAGCTTTCTAAATTCATCTCAGCCAATGTTTTGTAACCATCCTAGAGTCCCCAGCGCACTTTCTAAGGAAAGATCTCACATTTCCACCCAGTGTTTCCACCCGTGACTTGTGACGGAGGTAACCCAGTGTATTACATTGATGTGAAAACACATGAACGGATCTTGAGGTGTGAGCTAGATCTCAAGACAAAAACTCTACTCTTTACACGCCCTCTTGAACGATGCTTTCTCAGTTGAAGAAAAACCCAGGATCAGCAGAAAAAGGAGTCTCGGAGGGTAGGTCCCATGGCACACTCACGGGAGAGGGGGAGGAACCACTCACCCTCCCAGCCACAGCCACGCACAGATGGCAGAAATACCACCAGCAAGGAGCCCTCAGACACATGAGCGTTTAGTTCAACCCATGGCAGCAACCTGTGTGTTCACCCCCCTCCCACCCACAGGCCCCGGGGCAGAGCTGACACCTCTCAGGGTCTCAGTTCCCTCGTCAGAAAAGTGGGCACAATGCCCTCCTTGCCCCGTGAGCAGTCAGTGACACGACAAGGTCACAGGGCTTCCTCCTCGGCTCCCACCGCGGCCGCAGGGCTGCCATGGGTGTGCTTGGGGAATCTGCACTGGCTTTGTTTGATGAAACGCTCTGCCATGGGGACATTCCTGGCCTTCTCCTTCAGACAGGGCCTGCCCATGCCCACGTGAACCCCCTGGGTTTGAGAATGGTCCCGGGCTGGCCAGCCAGGCCACAGAGCAGCAGGAGGCCCAGGGAGGCCCCGGGATGGGCAGGGGAGGCTCTCTCTCTGCACCCACAGCTGCCAATTCTGGGCACGGCCTTCAGACAGACATGCCACCTACCTGCCTCCTCTCGTCGGGCGCCTTCAGGAAAAGGGCATTGATCACGGCGATGGTGTAGGTCTGGATCTCCTGGTCTGTCCTGTAAGACACAGACAACACAGAAAGTCAGGAAGCTATGCCTGTGTCAGACACGATCGAGTTTATGGTCACTGCCCCCCAGAGAGGGAGAGAGGAAGGCAGGCCCCAGAAACACAGTGGCACTGAGAATGTACTCTGATCTTCACGAGGCTGGAAACACAGTGGTGAGGAGGCAATTACTAGAGCCCATCAGACACACACTGCTGGGGCGGTCACCCAGAAAACACAGGAGGCCAGCGGGCCCTCTCTCCCCTCCTCTGCTAGGATGAAAGGGTGAACTCAGCCCGGCTGACATGGCTCAGTGATTGTACGTCGACCTATGAACCAGGAGGTCATGGTTCAATTCCCGGTCAGGGCACATGCCCGGGTTGTGGGCTCGATCCCCAGTGTGGGGTTTGCAGGAGGCAGCCAATCAATGATTCTCTCTCATTGATGTTTCTATCTCTATCTTCCTCTCCCTTCCTCTCTGAAATCAATAAAAATATATTTTAAAAAAAGGAAAGTGTGAACTCAGTGGATGAAACGTGTGTGTGTGTGTCTCTCTGTGTGTGTATGTTTGTCTCTCTGTGTGTGTATGTGTGTGTGTGTGTGTGTGTATGTGTTCAGTCTGATGCATGAAGTACATCTGGGAGGAGACTTGGCTGTCCCCAAGTCCTAGCCTTATTATAAAGGAAGCAGCTTTGTCTCCATGGCAATGATATGACATATTCTAAACATCTACTTCCAAAAAGAAACTTTCTAATGACAAGAAGATCAGGTTTTTATGTTTACACACTGGCTTTTCCTGGCATGAAGTCAGAAATTGCAAATGGAGGGACGCTCTAATGGAAGCCACCTGGGAAACAGTAAATAAGTGAGGAGAGCTCAGGCATAAGCCAGAGCAGCTAGGAGCTATTCATACAGACAATTTGGGAGAGGGGCCCTGGGAACACGCCTTGGGCAGAATGAAGGTCAGGCCCAGGGCGCCCCGCCTGGGTGAGTTCCTGGTGTGTCCCTAAGACACAGTTCCTGTATCCGCAGCACTGGGTAGCAACACTTATTCCCAGGGGCTGCTTTCAGAATAAGGTGAGGGAATGTGCCTAAGACCCTCAGCACAGCGCTTGGCAACAAGGAACTCTCCTCTTTGAGGAAGTGCACTGTGGACACACAAATGTGCCCTCGAGGTTCAGAAGAAAGAGACACTTCACATGCAGGGACTGTGAAAGTGCCGTTATTCCTAGAGAGGTTTCATGCAAAAACATCATTTTGGAGCGTGTGCTAATTTTCCCTGAGGCCACAATCTATTCTCTCTCCGCATTGATGTTCCTGTCTCTCTCCCTCTCCCTTCCTCTCTGAAATCAATAAACATATGTTTTTTAAGAAAGTAAAACTGTGGCTATCTGCCAACACTGATCAAAACTGGGTGCCTACTGAGGGCCAGGAACGGCGGCCAGGACAGTGCCAAGAATGGGCACGGCGCTCACCAAGCGGCAAGCAACTGCCACTGCAGTGTGACAGGGACTAGGATACACAGGTTTCCGGGCATTACATGCTGAGCATCTCCAGGCCCTTGCAGGGGCCTCGCGCTTACCCTTGCAGATGGGGGATGAGCTGGCCAATGGTGATCTCCTGCGCCACCTTTTGGTAGAGGTCGTGGCTGTTGAGCACCATGGACTCCAAGATGGCCAAGGACCGCTGCAGAATGGAGGTGTCCATGCCCGACTTGTTGACGAAACTCGCAATCTGAAAACCCAAGCGGGACACGGTGACTGCTTGCGGTCAGCACGGCAGGGAAGGACAGAAGGGAGCGAGTTAGGGAAATCAAGAGCTCGGATAGAAAACACCAGACACTGGGGGTACAAGTACCCACATGGACAGCGGAACAGCCAGGGGCGCGTGGAGCCAACAGGATGCTTCAGGACATCACCACAAAGCGCTATGTGCACCCCATTCCTGCAATTCCATTGTAAGCAACCTTCACAGGGGGACAGCTTCAAAGAATGATTTGGTCTAGTTTTTCCAGGATTATTCTGCGTTTCAACTTTTGGAGCAAACGATTCCAACACATGCAACCGTCCCTATGTGTCCGAGGGGTACTGGTTCTGAGACCCCCTCGCATAAAACCCATGGGCGCTTAGGTCCTCTACATAAAACGGAGCAGCATTTGCTACCGTATGTTTGCATACGGGCCACAGCGGGCTATGCCTACACTCCCTGCATCTGACTGCATTCAGCATAGGCTTGATGCCTGTTTTGCTTTTCAAAACTTTTTCTGGAATTTCTTTCCCCCAAATATTTTCTATCTGTGGTTGGTTGAATCCGTGAATGTGAAACCCACTGATACGGAAGACCAACTATGCAGTGTGAGGACGCCTGTGTTTCTCTGAGACAATCATTTCCCCTTATACAAACAGCCACTTCTCTCCATTTCCAGGCCACTCCACTATGCACGGATCCATGCCTTTATGTGCTGGTTATGATCCTATTACATTCTTCAGGGACTCGTACAAATCACACTTGTCGACACAAGTTAACTGGCAACTTCTCCATCACAGGCTACTGGCCTGCGATCCCTCCACGGAGCACGCTTTCCCCAACACTCATTTTAAATGGTTAAAATAAACTCTCCTCATCTCTCCAAAAGTTAGCAAACAGGAAAACCTTTAAATTAGCAGTGTGGAAAGTTAAAATCACAGTTTAGGCTCTGAAATGCATTCCCGAAGGAATTAATCGCTGAGGCCTCCAAAATAAATCACAACATAAGGGAGACACACAATAAGGGTTAGAATAATGGGTCGCATAAAGGTTTTATTTTAGAGGCCTCGTTAAAAGTTATTACTGTCTGGTGACAACGCACACGAAGGGCTGTTATTATAGCAGCATAATGACTGCTCTTCAAAGCTGCATAATGTGGTCCTATGACAAATGGGAGCTTGCTGCTTCCCTCTGTCGACACTAATGTCTCCTCTACGCCGTCCCCCCGACCACTTGTCTGCATCCCCTCTCCAGCCCTGCACGAGACAAAAGGCCCAGGCGTCCCTGGCAATGCGCTGGGACCATCTCAACTGTTCCCAGCCCAGCGACCCCCTGTGAAAGCAGGGCTAAGAGTACTGACACCAGCCTCCACCCTTGCCCCACAGACATCTGGATTTCAGAGGGTGTGAAATAAATGCCGCAAAGCACAGTAACATTACAACGTTATATTCCAAACGCTATTATTTTATGATATAAACTACAGGAAAGAATACGAGACATTTAAGATTCTCCAAAGAACTCCACTGGCCCATCGTTAACTGTTTTTGCCCATTTCATGGCCAATAAACTTCTCCGACGTGTTTACTGGCCCTGGAAAGCCCGCACCTTCCTCCTCAGTCTGCTCCATGGGACCAACTCTACCTGCCAAGACTGCCTTTCTCCTCCAAGGCCGCCCTTCTCCGAGGGAAAGCCAACCCTCCCATACTGTGCTCATGTTGAACACTTCGCTTAGACCTCCTCTAAGTAAAGAGAAAAGCCATCGCTCCCCTGTCCACACCATCCCACCCCTTTCTGCTACCCCAGCACATGCTCAGGCGCCTGCTGGGAAATGGAAGAACTCCCAGAGCCGCTCGCTGACGATGCTGCTCATGTCCTCTGCACTCCTTTTCTCCTCCCTCCACTCCCCTTTTCCCGTCTCCATTTCATAAATTTGCATGTATCCTTATGGCTCTTTGGAGAATTTTCCACCTGAGAGCTCCCTCCCCACCTGCCAGCCTCCACTCTCTCTCTTCATTCATTGGAGTCACAGGCATTCACTGTGTGCCACCAAACAGGCTCGCCTGCCCTGAGATCTGAAAAGAGAGAGGAGCAAGACCCACAGGATTTTTAATTTCAAGGACCTTACAGTCTAGCAGAGACTTTGCCTTTAAACTTATACACACACACACACACACACACACACACACACACACACACACTTATAGCCAAGTCACCACAGCTCAGCAGCTTCTGCAGTGAGCGTCTGTCCCCTGGTGGTCAGTGCAATGACCAGTCGTTCCGCCGTTCGGTTGATTTGCATACTAGCTTTTATTATATAGGATAAATTGATTTCAGAAAGAAGGGAGAGGGAGAGATAGAAACATCAATGATGAGAATCATTGATTGGCTGCTTTCTGCACGCCCTCTACTGGGGATTGAGCCTGCAACCCGGGCACGTGCCCTGGCTGGGAATCGAACCATGACCTCCTGGTTCCTAGGTTGATGCCCAATCATATATAGCCACACCAGCAGGCTCTTTGCCTTTAAAGTTTTTGAAGCTCCGTTACTGTACTTTTGGCCCACGTAGGTGATAAAGTCTAACCTAGCCAAAGCCCAGCTTTGGGAAAGTAGGTCTGCAGCATGAGGAAGTGGAGGTCAGAGGGTCAGCTGTAATTACACACACTGCTCCCGCATGCTTCCACCCAGTTGAAAAGGTTACCCAAACACAACCGAGGAAGATCTGGGTGGTTTTAGGAAGCTAAGGGCCATCACAGTGCATGAATCAAGGGCCCAGCGATTAAAATCACATAAACCCTCTTTGAGTTGCTCCAGATGAGGTCTTAGATTCTCCTCTGTCACCACAACTGAATGCACCGTGGGGTGCTGGGCTCCTTCCCAGGCTGAAAGCACCGGGCAGCGGCCTGTAAATCTCGCACGCTTTTACTGGTAAGAGGCAAAAATTACTGGGTCTAAGCCACACACACGGCTGGATGCGTGTCCAGCGCTGGCAGCTCGGTGGGTGGACCGGCCTCCTGCAGAGCTGGGTTCAGAGCTATGTGTGCGGCTCTGCTGCCAAGAAAAGGCCCTGGTGCTGTCCTTGGCGAGGAGAGAACCAACTCGTGGCTCAGAAAAGTTCTGGGGGCTTGGGGTGTCTTTATTCCATTCTTTTTTCTCCACGCCTTCCTATCCGCTCCTTAGGTAGCCAGGTCTTTAAAAGGCAACAACATGGCCCTGGCCAGTGTGCTCAGAGGATGGGCGTCGTCCCCGGCACTGAGAGGTTGCCAGTTTGAGTCCCATCCGGGCACGTGCCCGGGTTGTTATCCGTAGGGGGTGTGCAGGACGAAGCTCACCCTCACATTGATTCTCTCTCTCGTTCTCTCTCTCACTGTCTCTCTCCCTTCCTCTATCTCTAAAACCAATTTTAAACATATTTTTTTAAAAAGCAACATTACATACTGGCATAAAAAAATTCCAAGTTTCAAAGTGTTTTTGCAAGGATGTTACTTATTGCAAACGAAGTTTGGAACTAGAACCAACAGATGAAGCAGTGAGCAGGAGACGGGGGCTGGCAGGGGCAACAGCACTTCTCCAAAGTGGCATGACTCTGGCATTAATAGGGAGCCAAGGCTGTGTTGCAGAGATAAGCGTCTTTTGTCACCAGATTTTTGTCGAGATAAAGCTCCATTTAAAAGACAGCTGTCTGCACACAGCCTCTGGGTTGTCAGGGCGCTGAAGCTGATCCAGCTAATGAATAAACGATGTTAACCTTACAGAAACGATCAATTATAAAGCCATTTTCTGATGACCATTTTTCAAATTCAACTTGGGGTTGAGATCCAAGTAGCAAGGCG